CTATCTGTGCTGTTCCCACCACGGGTATCAAAACCCAGGGGAGGGGCAATATTTAATGTAGTTAACAATTAGATGCTACCTAAAACAATAAGGACTAAGCATCTATAAGCAAACTTTTATCCTTTTATGATCTTAGAAAAATTAAATTCCACTGAAGACTGCTGATATTTTATTTAAATAATATTGTCACTACTAGAATTCCTTGTATAGTTAACCTAATTTATTTCAGCATCATATTGATGTTATATATGCTGACAAACACACACACTAATTTATCCAAACAATTTTTCAAAAAAAAACTTGAATAAATATATATATATGTACTTAGTTTCTTACAATATACAAAACAAGGTTAGTTACATTAAGATATTTTACCTATTGTTTGGTCTATGTAGGAATCTCCATGCCAAAAAACTGTTAATGTTCCATTCAACTGTCCAACTTCAGCCTGATAGGTATACTATAGCAAAAGCAGCAAATGTTAATAATAGATTAAATACAAACAAGAATTTCAGAGTACAAAAACCTTGACTGATTCTGTTTTATAAGTCTTCAAAGCTTTAACTTCACTGATGCTATCACAGATGTGTTAGGATTGAATCATTTACAAAATTAAAATACAATCTACTATTTACAAAACATATAGAAAAATAAGAAAATAATTCATATAATTGCTATGTTAAAATGACAAAAATGGCTTCACAGCATTATTAACAAAACCTTTACTATATATTTAATCACAACTAAGAGAAAAAAAAAAAGTACTAGAGTTTTATCTTACCACTGTTTTAGCACATATTATCTTATCACCATAAACTCTAGCTAAAACTCTTTCTTTGGCTCCTTCAATTTCTACAACACACTCAAAATTGTCCTGAAAATACAAAAAAGAGAACATTCAGTTCATATTACTCCTTTTTTCTTACATTAAAGGTTTGATTTCAAGAAAGTAATCACAATTAATAAATTTATTTTCATAAACAGAGAGTGGATAATATCAATACCTTTTGAAAGTATGAAAGGAATTTCTTTTTTCTTTTGTATTACAACTTTGTATCGTAAATTGAAATCTACTTACCAATAAACTTGGGAGATTCTTTCCATCTAAAGTCATCTCCTTTGTTACACCATTAGGAAGAAGGATTTCTTTTATCTTAGCAAAACTAGGACAATAACGTCTGCCTTTAACAAGGGAGTTTTGTGGGTTCTGTACAAAGAAAAGGACAATACGTATAAAATATTCACCTATCTACAAGTGCTACAGTTACAGAAGATAATAACCTCTTGAGTTACACAACTACAACTGATCTGTATAAAAATGACCATGCCTATTTATAAATACTATCATTGCTTAGAAATACACTACATTTACTTCACACTAACAAAAGTGAAGAACACCATAACAAAAAATTGAGGACCACTTGCACAGATCTGTAACTATTCACAATAGTTTACTGTCATAACATATATATATATATATATATATATATATACTTATTTTTGTAAGATGTAATTTATAGAATTTTGATGAAAGTCTTATGTCCAAAATATGCTATACATTTTCTGTAATTAACTCCTTATGAGATAAGAATAAAAAATATTTGAAAGTGAAATTTAACTTTCAGCAATTTCCAGTACACTTTGAAGTAATGTCTGTAGTACAGATATGTGATAATTTAACTAAACAAAACAAAGGCACAAAGAATAAAATGAAGAAATTGTTCATATAGAAGAAAACAATTTAAATCAATGAGCTTAGTTTCTTTCTTGTATAAATAGTTTAAACTAGCAAAGAAGTTGCAATTCTGAGCTTAAAAAGTAATACTATAAATGGAGTGTGGCTTGCTAGTTTATACTCTTTTGAGCTGTACCACACACACTGTTAGGTGTTGGCTTCACATATTTTGTTACAGATCTCCACATTCAGTTGAGCATTCAGTTGTGACATTACAGCAGTAAAATTGAAACCAAACTCAAATTAACAACTTGTGATACCAGAGAGACAGACAACTTTACTTTTTATATATACAGGATGTCCCAAAATGAATATACTGATTTTAGAAAGCATTTTATAAGGTGCCTCATAGAAAACTTGTTACAAAAATTAATTCTGTGGGTATGGGGGAAATGTTATTAAATCGGATAGAAAATTGGCTGGAGAGTAGAAAGCAGAGAGTAGTAATAAATGGAGTTAGATCTGACTGGATCACAGGTACAAGCAGTGTGCCTCCTGGTTCTGTGCTGGATCCTCTGCTGTTTGCAATTTATATTAATGATATTCACTCTGGAATGACTAACAAAATTTTGAAATTTGCATATGACATTAAGAATTTTGGGGTGGTTAACTGTATCAAAGATGTTGCAGACTTACAGGGAGGTTTAGATCATTTGATGCATTGGGCCAATACATGGCAGATGATGTTTAACTATCCAAAATGTAAGGTGTCGCATGTAGGTTTTCACAATTCATATTATTGGTACAGTTTAAATGAGACTAGATTAAATACTGTGGCTGAAAAAAAATATTTTGGTGTTGTGATTAAATAATCACTTAAGTCATCTAAACAGTGCATTGTAGCTAGCAATAGGACTAACAGGATTTTGGGTAGCATCTCTACAAATAGTGAATACAAGACAAGGGAAATTATTATTTCACTGAATAGATCACTTGTAAGGCCTCATTTAGAGTACTGTATACAGTTTTGGGCTTCCTTTATCAAGAAGGACATTGAATTGTTGTAGTGGGTTCAGAGGAGAGCCACTAGGATGATACCTGAGATGGTGGGATTGTCCTATGAGGAGAGACTAAAATCTCTAAACTTGTTTTCTATGGAGCGGAGAATGGTCAGAGGGGATTCAAGTGTGGGGTTTAAGATTATTAAGGGTATTGATAATATAGATCCATCAAACGTTTTTGTGTTTAGCAGTGAAAATAATAGGACAAGGGTTCATAAATTCTTGAAAAGTTTCTTGGTGTACAAAACTTGAAGATAGTTTTTATATGCAGAAACATCTGTTAGCTGAGTTCTTGCACAGATCTTAAAATATAACGTT